TCTGCTGTCACACTGCGTTTATATTTACCCAGGTTACCTATCATTTTTTATATCATATAAGCATCTGGACCTGGTTTGACAGGCATGTGAAAAGGGCATGTGATCTCTCATACATTTTTTATTCTCTTTCTGTCTTCGCACAAATTCAAATCTTAACCCTTTTCTCTTCTTTTACAGTTTGTATTGTGAGTTTGTGAATGTTGGTGAAAATTCTATGAACTGGATGATCTTGGTTTGGGGGAGCAGCCACACGCATGACAAAGCATGCTGGGATGTACAGCAATCACCCAACAGCCCAATATACTCCTGCACTGTCTAACCAGCTCTGTCTCTCCATCGTCGTCTTGTTTTGTTTGTTTGTTTGTTTCTACAAACTCTGCATCTCTTTCTCCCAGGTTCCTTCACCGGCAGCACGAGCACCGAGGCCAGCGCTCAAGCGGCAGCGGTGACGGATTCCGTCGACCAGGTCTCTCCCACCATGCCCCGTGCCACAAAGAACCGGGTGTCCGGAAAGCTCCGCCGATCAGCCAGCGCTATCAGCAAATCTTCCAACTGAGCTCTTCACCTGCCCCTGAACCCCCCGAGTGCAGCCTTTAATATTTCTTCTCAAAGAACCTCACACCGCCGTGACTGCAAGAGGTGTTTCGTTTTTTGTTTTCGCCTGTGTTGTTATTTTTCTTTGTTTTATTGTAACATGTAACTGGAGCATATTGCAATTTTAAACTTTGAGAGGCGATCATTGATTTCACTTATACATTTCCATTCGTTGTGGTGTTAATGCATTAATTGCAATGGACGTGAGACTTTGCTATTTATGTTCATTCCTGGTGATTTCAGCTTAAGAATCAGCAACATAGGAAGTCTTAAATCAACCTGTGGTGACAAAGTAAAGTCACTTTTATTCTCATTTTCTAGTGCAGGCCTAACGCACTAGAGAAACACAAGGTTCTTTACTATAGTAAGGGAATGGGAGACTGCTTTACCGTGTGTCTGCATCTCATCTAGCTCAACTCTTAATGTAACAAAGCACTGAATGACACAGTTGTAAATGGCACCATGCTAAAACTGCACAACAGATTGTAATCCATTTATAAATGTGTCTGCCTTTCTACTTCTGTGAGCACCTGCCACAACCTTCCCGTGTCGAGGATAGCGCTGCAGTCAGTGAAGGCCCCCCGGATGCATCAGTTTGGATCATGTTTGTGAATCGTCTTCCTACAGCAGAAAAAGGATGATGGACTGATGCATGGGAGAAAAGCTCCCCACAATAACTGGTACTCACTTCACTGCTACAGACTTCCTGGAAGTGCAGTCAGGGGCTTTTTAATTGTTATGAACCCAGAGCGGACAATCAGTAACATCTTTCTACCTTGAGCTGGACTTTTTCTTTTTTTATCTCTAATTTTCCTTTTTAAATGAATTCCGATGGATTGTGTCACCATTTGATTCATGCGACTCCACTGGAATGAGAAAAGAGTGCGTTTGTAATTGTTTTCTGATGTTGTTAACATAGGCTCATGTCCGGTAATTGAATAAGTTCCCTGTCTCTTTCCTCTGCGATCAGTTTCCCTCCGTGATGCTAAGACATCGACATTCCAGCGTTCCCCCAAACAATGTTTTTGCACTCGCTGTCATTGATTATGTAGAATGTTTCTCTGTGTTCCTGGATGTACATTGCTTTAAATTTTATTTGCTGATGTGTGTTTGCTAGATGTGTGTATAGAGAGAACTATTTGATGAAATTATTTTTGCTGTTGTGTTGTTTTATGTAGTCATTTGCTGTTTAGAGGAGAAATGCACCAGAGCCTCAGGTGAATCTTAACTCCATGCACTGGTGTGCATGTATCGTGTGTGTCCAAATGTGTGTGTGTGTGTATGAGTGTGAGTTTCTTGACGGGGAGCTTCTCACAGTGCCTGTGTAATGTCTGTCCTCTTAAGATGCTGTCCCACACCACCTGTGCTCACAATATTTTAGTTCCTCCCCTTCATCATGTGAGACAAACCATGGCCGTCCTGCATCACGTCTCTGTACTCTCTGTCTGAAAAGACACGTTTTCCTCCTCTGTGTCTCTGAAACTCAGAGTCTTGTGCTTCCCACAACAAAAAAGCAACAGCAGATGGATTTGGAGTTGTGGGCACAACTTATTATTTGTGTTTTCTCTTTGCATTGCTGTCTTTATCTGTGAATCAAGTGACACCAACCCCTCCTTTTTCCCATGATCCTCTCCCCATGTCGCCGCCTAGATCTATGGGAGGTGGTGTGCATGGGGACGTGAAGTGGTGGGGGGTGACAGAGGTGTTTATGTGGCATGCCAGAGCTAAACTCTAAGAGCCCTCCTAGCAACAGACAGGCCGGTTCTCTCACTCCTGCAACCTGCCCTGCTCAAGTTGTCATGGTAGCCAGGTGTTTTCCACACACACACACACACACACAATACACTCACACCCTCTGAGGGCTCCACCCAAGCTGCAACACTATCCCCATCTGTTGCACTACTATGCCTTACTTTCCCCATGCTTCACCTGTCATTTCCCTCCCCTCTCCCACATCTTCCCTTCTTTTGTTTATTTAACTCTGAGCAGAGGACAGCGGGAGTGTGAAGGTGGAGAGTGTCCATTGTTGTCCTTTTGTTCTTTTTTTGTGAAGAATGTATAAACACATAGGCCTGGATCACATCTATGTTTTTTTTGTTTTTTTCCCCAAAAGCCATCTGAAGGAAACACCCAGGATGCTGATCAAAAGATTGTAGGTTATAGATGATGTCTGTTGAAGGAGTCTGTGCCCTCCCCTCTCTTTTTGGTGGCTTAGACACTGGAGATGTCAGTTTGGACCAAGATAAGAATTGTGTGTCTTATATATACGTGAAGAAAAACGAGCTAGTGTTAGTTCCTAGTATGTCGCCTCTTTTCTTCTTGTTTTTCAAAAACATCCTTGTACATTGTGTCAAATTTGAGGGTGTCAGCATCCTCTGAATATAAATATATGAATGCCTGTAATATAATCTTTGTATAAGAGAAAGAGGAGAAAAAACCTTGAAGATTTCATCATTACTTGTCAACATATCAAACTGTTTTTAACGACCGAAGTCCTGCTATCTTTATTAGAAATGTGAAAATGGAAACATTTCATTAAATCAATTTGATCTGATCTTACTTTGTTGTGTTTTTTTCTCTCAGCAACACAACTTGTGTAACCTCAGATTTTGTGGGTTAGTGTGTGTGCGTGGGCGCTGACTGATAGTGCTGTTACCATGGGCTTCCTGACCCTGGTCTGACTGTGCTATAGCAGCAGCAGCAGCGGTGGCGGCAGCAGGGGTAACCCGACCCTCCTTCCATCTGTCTCCCCTGCTGCTCAGCCCGGCTTAGGGGAGGCCAACATAATGGAACCTCACCAGGAGGTACAGGTGCAATGGTTGCTGCACCTACAGGTGCCCTCGCCTTGCCTGGGCCACATAAAGACGCAAGAAAAGCACTTGACTGTAATTGAAGTCCCTCAAACTGTTTGTGTGAAAAAAGAAGGTGACAAGGAGCCTAATGTCGCCTCATTTTCATCCAGCTCGTGTCATGTCACTGACTGACTGTGAGACAGTTTAGAGAAGAACATGCAGGAGCTGGGTGTCTCAGTGATTATTACCACACACTTTGGTAATATTACATGTGTCACACTGATGGCTGCAGTGTATTTTCACACTTTAAAATAACTATCCCTCTTAATGTGTTGTGTCTGATGCCATCGAGCAGTGACATTTATTTAAAAAGTAAGTTTTGTGCTTTTTGGCCTTGGACAGGTGCAGAGATTAGTGAGCATCAGCAAAAGAAGAGACTCAGGAGACTTTTATTCACTTGTTACTCAATACCACTCAAGACTTTAAGTTTTAGCATCAGTGTAGATGCTCTAGATAAAGTCCTGGTCAGTGGGGGGCTGTACACATTAATTACAACCAACTCGCTGCTTTTCAGGTTGTGGAGGTCAGACATGAAGCCCTGACAAAAACTCGAGCTGCGTGAGTCCCGCGGAGCAGACAGATGTTTTACTGCTCCAGAGGTGAGCTCTGATCCACCACCTCCTTGTCCTTTTGTCACGTCCTGACGTGGTATTAGGCCGGGAATTTATGATTAGGCCCTAAGTGCTTCTCTTCTGTGTGCCAGGGAAACGGCGTCTGTTGAGCCACTGTAGCGATGATTTACTGCAGAGCGAGGCTGACAAACGGAGGGAATCGAACGCGATGACAGAGAGGGCGGCTGAGGTTCGTGCGTCCTGAGGACAAGGGATGCGCACTGGGTTTGTGGTGTAGCCAGATGAGGAGACGCGAGGAGTCTACAGGCTGACGCTGTTAAAACTCCTGTAAAATGAAATGGTTTTTCATCAGTTTGTTGTTTTGCGTCATTTCTGGAGGCCCGCGGACCACAGTGAGGGAACCAGCTTTAAAACCTGATCGGTCCTAAGAACTGAATTCAAAGTGCACTTCATCTCTTTTTAAAATTAAGTATTTGTGATTTAAACCAAAAATGCGACTACATATTCCAAATATTCCGAAATCGACTCAAAACTTTGAAACAGGTTTCATTTTTTTATAATTGAGGTTTATGAAAGAGAAGGTTTGTTTTACGCACAGGATCAAATCGAGTCCTGATGAGGCCTTAATGCAACATCAATATATCTATTAGTAAATCAACCCTACATTTATTTTTGTCCATGGTAATTTAAATTACAATATTTAAATGATAATGTTTAGTTTTTATAATACGTTTTGGAGGAAATTGTTATCAGCCACAGGTTTCTCCATAAAGCAAAACATTACAGACACATTTCCTAACTTTAACCTGATCCATAAAATAATGATCAACAAGCGTACTGGCTTTTCATTTTGTTTCTTTAAGTAAGTTTCAGTAAAACAAAACTCACACAAGAGATATGGAGATTAATTTCCCTTCAGTAATAAAGTTCAGTTGCTGCTTCTCACGCATGAATAAAAGTTAGAGCACCTCGACACCACAGGTCCTTTTGAAAATATTTTTTTTATTTCGATAGACAACAACCATATACACGTACAATCAAAGCGCTATAAAAGCCAACATTTAAGAAAATAACTTGTCCTTAAAAAAGATTGCATCTAAGGTAAGAGCTTTACGTTTTTTTTACTTTCTTTTTTACAAGAGCTGTGGAGATTGAAGATTAAAACCCGACCCACGACAAAAAAAAGCGTCACAACTCATAAAACCTGACAAAAGAAACAAACAAACATTGTTTAAATAAAAAAATAAAAAAAACATTTTGGCTATACGACATGTAAACTGCCAGAACGATTCACAGGGAAAAAATCACAACAAACACAACAATAAGTTACATAAAATAATTCCAATAAATAAATAAATAAACATCATGATGAAAAATATTGCAACAATCTTCGATAATAATTATAAAATATGTGCCAGCATTCAAAATTAAAACAATCTATGTTGACTTTAAGGCAGTTATACAGCGGGATTTGGATGTAGACTATTTCACACTAGGCTTTTATACTAAAGGCATTTGTGGTTCTACTTAAACAGGGAATTCTTCAGTCACACTTTTAGGTATTTTTTTCCCACCTGGACAAATGTTGACAAGTTTTGTCATTCACAAACATATAGCGTAAAGCTACGGTGATGGGGCAATCACGGTCAGTGAATCCGAAAGGGCTTGGATGGGGGTGAATAAAGAGGGTTTCTGGGAATTTAAAGACATTTCTTAGGTCTAGAAGCTATCATTGAGCACATGTGCTGTCCTAGAAAAATACCTTATAACAGTCAAACTAACGCTTTGTATTCTTTTTTTTCTTGATAAACTAATTTGAGAAAGAAAGTCTCAAAATAGGCCTATTCAAATATAGAGAAGCATTCAACAATCACTGATTGGCATATGGAGAAAAAAAGACACCTCATGAAACACCACTGAAACATCAAACCAGCCCTGCCTGTCATTGGCCTAAAGTTATGGCAGCGAGCATCACCAACTCTTTTTTTTCAACCTCAAAGCCACTTTTTCTTGTTTGTTTTTTTTTAAATTCACCATATCAAAGGCACGTGTTGAGTGTTGTCTTTTTTTCAGCAGGCTGGGCGCACCGGCATCTGGAGCAGTATCACCTGCCTGTTCTCCGAGGGGTGGCACTTGTTTATGTGCCTGGTGAGGCCCGGCGAGCTGTACAGGGTGGCGGGGCAGTATTTGCACGGGTAGATCTGGGAGGAGTGCATGAGGCGCAGGTGTCGCTCCTGGCCGGCCCTGCTGGTGAAACTTTCCCCGCACACCGGGCACAGCAGGCAGTCCACCGGGCTCAGGTTGAGGGGGCTTTGGTTTGAGGCTTCCTCTGAGCAGAAGGAGGAGGACGAGGAGGAGGAGGATGGTGCAGTAGAGGAGGATGGTGGTACCGGTGCTTGTTCTGCAGCTCGCTCGCCGGTTTGAAACCCGTGCTCCTCCATCACTTTCTTTTGCAAGGCCTGATGTCCCATGATGTGTTTTCTTAGGTATGCCTGACGCTTAAACCTCTTCCCGCAGTACTGGCAGTCATACGAGCCATCTTCTGAGCCCGACTCGGACAGACCGGGACTCGGGGTGTCTCTGTCACTCATGTCTTTGGCTTCGTCGGATGCTGACTTGACACCGAGCGGTGGCATTTTGGCCATTTCAGCTTTCATACCCTGCGCGGGCGGCATCGCCGGTGCGCCGGTGGTCCGGGGTTTGTGCCAGCGGCGATGGGAGGCGAGGTTGGCGGGGCAGCTGAACATTTTATCGCACTCGGGACACCGGTACTCGACCCTGACGATGCGAGAGCACTTGTGCTGAGCCAGAGAGAAGGGATCCGCGTACGCCTCTTTGCACAGCTGACACACAAACTCCCCCAGAGGCTTGTTCCCTCCGGAGGACTGCGCCCTCGGCTTCACCTCCACCGGCCCCTCTTTGATTTTGAGACCGAGCACAGGAGAAGTCGTCACCTCGTCTTCAAAGTTGAGTTTTCTAATGGCTTTGGGTTTCTTTGTGGCGGGTTTGGATTTGCGCTCTGTGCCGTCAGCCGCGGGTCTTTTGGTGGCGGCCCGGTTGCTCGGTGCCGGGAGGCTGCTGGTGGTGCCGCTGCGGCTGCTGTTGCTGGTGCCGATTTTCAGGTCGACCGGGGCGTACAGGAGATGGTCCAAGCCGGATAGGGAGGCGGGTGTCGGGAATGACTCGGCAGAAATAGGCGAGCCCAGATTGAAACTTCGCTCAAAATATCCCCTGTCGTGCTCCTTGCTGATGGGCCGGGTGGGGCTGTAGAGGGCTTGGCACACCGCCTCTGGGTTTCCGAACTGTGCCGGCTTCTCCAGTCTTGGCACAGGCGCTGCAGCTGCCGTGAAACACTGGGAAGCTGCGGCGCGGTCCGGACTGGACGCCGTGGACATCGGCGGGGAGGGGTGCGCGTAAATGGGGAAGGCAGCTGGGGTGGGTGGCTCCTGGAGGTCATCTTCGTCTGACCGAGTCCTGTAGGAAACATGTGCAGATTTCTTGTTTCTTTTTACCAGGAATCCTTTGGGCATCTTGGCGAGTGGCGGTGGAAAGGCACTTCGGGGAGGTGGGTGAAGTCTCGAGTATCCAGGTTTGTTAAAAAGATGGCAACACTAGAGGCTTGTGGGACTTTATCTGCCCCGGTCTATTGATCCTTCTGTTGCTGAAATGTTTTCGTCTCCAAGGCATAGCTCCACTCTTTTTATGCCGGAATGATGCTATTGTTCTCGCCCCCCCTGTTGCAGCATCCCCGACCAATCGGAGGAAACCAGGACCCCAGTGGATTTGATTGTGGGAGGGCTCAGAGTCTGGGTTTGGAGGATTTCGTTGGAGGATGTGCAGATAGCTCAGCAGATGTACTGGCGGTTTATTACATTAATGTGTGCCCCTCCCCGACAGAGGCACACGCCGGGACCCTCCTCTTTTTACGGTCTGATGGGCCCTTATACAAATGCACACGTGCCACGGCTTTGTGGCTCTCCTCTGGGGGGCCCAGAGCTTCTAAGAGGAAATGTCCGTCAATGCCACTACCATCACAGTTTAGAAATAAGACGGGGACGAGACAAACTTGGTTAAATACAAACCAACAGCTCAGCCTGGATCCCTTTTTGTTGCTTTGATGTTCAAATCAGAGGAATGACTGTAAAATCGCGCTGTTGTGAAGGTTTTTCTCCAAATTGTTTTCACCAACACACGGTTCACAGCTGTTTATTTCCTCAATCCATAGCCTTTTACGCACGACCTTTACGCGCACTGCGCAGGCCGTGCCAGCAAACTATACAGCCCGTGCACCTTTTTATAGATCTTGGTTTTATTATGTCTTAAATAAACACCATAGAGGGAGTGCTTCTTTATTTTTGGGCACGTGTCTGTCTCGGTAGTTTAACTCGACATATAAATCAGACATCTCGCTGCATACATAAGTAATAAGAAGGCCCTCTGGTCTTTGTGCACAATAGCCACGTCTGCCCGTGCTTGGATATCCCTGTCTTTTTTTTTTCGTTTGAAAGGCAAATTGACCTCTTAACTGTGAAACGGGACTCACGGCCAATCTGGCCCACAGCTAGACGCGTGCTGGGCTGCAGACAAAGAAGGCCGCAGCCGATGGAGGCTTGTGTTGCAGAAAAGAAGCTGCACAAATATTCAAAGATTAAAAAATGGAGCTGCTGCTGGTTCCAATCTGGAATAGTTGTTTAGGTGATCTTTTCATGGAATTAATTGTTGATTATGAGCAATTTCCACATAAAACACACAAATGTGCTTAAAAGACTTAAGTTTGCATTGTGTTGGATAAAAAAAGTTGAATAACTTCATCCTTTGTTATAGTTTCCAAATTTAAAAAAACTTTTAAATTTCTCTAATTCTGCAGCCTCCTCTCAACATAACAAAGAACTTTACCAGCTCCGCTGTAGTTTCTGTGCATGCACTTCACATGTTGTGTATGTGTCTTTTTTTCCTTGTAAAAAGACTAAATGCAGGCTGCAGTGCGCCACTTGGCACAGAGTGCATTCTTCTTTCCTTTCACTTGGCAGACCGGGGAGGAATTAATCTCCATCGTCGTACATTGTTCCCCTCATTTGCATAAAGCTGCAGTATGACCAAGTCAAATAATTACACAATCGGCGCTGAGGCGCAGGCCCGCGGCTGCTTTTCTTTACAGGCCTGTGTGCCGGACCGGTGCCTTCTCACCTGCCTCTAAACACACAGCGCTGGTTTGGGTTCGAGAGGTTTAAGTGAAACATTTGATAAAAAACCAAATAAAGTTTTTATTGTGGATAAGAGAGTTGAACTAAATGGAAACACATTTAATGTTTGATTAAGATTTCCCTTTGGAATTTTCTTCACTTATAATCTTCTGTGTTTTTAAATCTTTTCTTTCTCGGGATAAATTATATTTGCTGCGACGAATCTTCATTAAAACTTGTTTTGCTTGCGGGTATGTTGTGTTTGTCTCCATCTCTCTGTCACTAAACTCGTTCTTTCTCCCTGAGCTTCTATTAGTCGTGGTTTGTTGGGAGAACAAGCTTTGATGGCATTTTAACGAGTTCCTCTTTGCCCCCGTGATCATTGCGGTGCGGGGCGCGTGCGTGGGCTGCTGCCGTGCTGGCTGGGCCTTGGCCTGCACCGATGCGCATGCGCGTGTTTGCTCAGCGGCGCGTGCTGCCCTGAGCAGGGAGGCATAGGCGCCTGCATGATTAGCATACAGCTGCAGCCTAAATGCAGCCACCCCCCCAAAAAAACCTTATCACACACAGATATAGGACTTTAAACGTTGCTCTCCTTCATGTCCCTGCCGCCTGCGGGCCACACTGACAATGTACTGATGTAGATTAAAGATAAAACTTGAGCATATTAGAATAAGTAATGTTTTTAACACTCTTTAATCGCAGATCGTAGAATCAAGTTTCTTTGCGGTTTTTCTCTGTTTGTCCACATTTCTGCAAATAACCACTTTACAAATCATGCTTAAACTGTTCTCACCAGCATCATTTTTTTTATGTCTAAATTGTTGAACCAGAGGTTTGGTTTAAAAAGCTATAATTCATTTTTCACTTTCTGGCCTCATGACCCACCAGCTCTTACCTCACTGCACCACCTACAGGATGAAGGACCTGAAAGTTTAAACCAGTGCACTCAGGCCTTGATGCCTCACCACACTGTTTCCATCAAACATTAACCACGTTTACAGAGGGAGCTGTGGACCAGTTTGCTTTTTTTTACAATGATTACATTTCATTTATTCTCACCATACACATATAGGGACACCCCCCCCCCGAATAATTGGCTCCGTGTGCTGCACCAACCTGAGCCAATTTGAAAGTGCAATGGGACATGACTGTAATTGGTGCTCACTACACGGCCACCTCCAATGCATTGTCAATCAGTTAATGTAATTGATTAGCCGAGGTCTTATTCTGGCCGGCTGTAATCTGATAGAGGGGCTCTTTCAGCACCATGGAGAGAGCCAGCGAGGGACCCAGATTTAATCAGGCCGGCCGTGGACACAGCACAGCTCTGGCTGCAGCCTTTGTCCCCCCGAAAACTGAGAGCGGGCTGCAGCAACAAGAGAACAATGACACGGGCAAAACAAAAGTGCCAGAGTTTCATGAAGTGATTGGTTTTTAAATACAGTTTCTACAGGGAAACGGCTCTAACCTATCATGGCTCAGTTCTCTTCATATGTTCTCGCCATTAGATTTCCACTCACACATTTTGAGTTATAATACTTTTATATTATACAGTTGTTTATCCAGTTTTTTAAGAACTTACTGTTTGGCCCAAATGCAAGTGTGTTGTTTGCCTTTAATAGAACAAAGTCCTATTGTTATTTGTTGAGCTGCAGTTCCAAGACAAGGATGGTTCTTTAATTCAATTTCTCAAAAAGAAGCTTCACTCCATTAAAGCAGAGGAAACAGTAAAGACTGTAGAACACTGGCTAAGAGATTTGTTTAAAAAAGTCAGTCTTTGAACATATTATCTGAGTTTCAGTCGTCTGTTGAGGCATTTCAGATCTCAATTTTCACATAAATATACATACTTTTAACAGAAGCATTCAGCAAATCCTTGCTCTGGTCTAAACCAACTGACACCAGTAAAGAGCAACAATAGTAAATAGTTTTGCAGCAAGCAATTCTGGAAAAGCAGTGAGACTTATAGTACCAGCGGGATCAATGGGGACATTGTCTGTTTGGCCATGAGAGGAACCCAGAGGTCGGTGTCTAGACTTTAAAGGGTACTTTAGAAGGATGCCCACGAGACCAGGTTACTGTAAAGTGGTGCAGCTCAGAGCTTTAGACTAATGGACCTCAGTGTTGATGGAGAACGTCCCTGATGTTATCTGTACTTTTGACAATGATGATGGTGACTCTGTGAGGACAAGGACACATGTTTGGGGCTTTAATGTTATAATGTTAGCTATGTCTATCCATCTATCCATCTATCCAACTATCCATCTATCTATCTATCTATCTATCTATCTATCTATCTATCTATCTATCTATCTATCTATCTATCTATCTATCTATCTAATTTGATGTGATACAAACAAT